ACATGTAAAGTTGTAGGAAAATTTTATACAACAAAAGTTGTCCCTTAATATCATTTTGAAAATATTAAACTTACAATTATTACACATTATTAAATAACTAAATGCATACAATATCATATTGAAGTCTCTAAATAAATAGTCAATTATAAGATAATACGTTATTATCGTAAAGTTACTTTTCAATACTCAAAGTACCTAATTGTGTTTTGCACATTCTCGAAAATTTGAAGAGAGACTTTTTGTGGGGCTTTATGGGCTTTATAAGGAAGGGAGGTAGAAAAATCTATTGGGTGGGATAGGATAAAGTGTGTCTAGATAAGGAGAATAGAGGTTTAAGGGTTCCTAGCAAGAAAAGAAAACTTGCTACCATTGGGTAAATGGTGGGCTAGATTTGGGGAAATTTTAAATGGCTTATCAAAGAGGGTGCTATTAGAGAAGTATTATGGGGTAGGGGAGTTCGAGGTGGAAAATTATAGAAGAAGAAGACTATCAAAAGTGTGGGTTGACATAGTATCATGAGAAGAAGAGGGTGAGATGAGGGAGATTGTAGATAAAGGGTTTAAATGAGAATTAGGAGATGAGAAAATAATAAAGTTTTGGAAGGATGTTTGGTTGAATGGTGTGAATGTAGGGGTAGAATTTCCTAGATTGAAAAGCTTGGTGGGGTTGGTAGAGCTTAAAAATTATGATATAGGTATGTGGTGTGAAAGAGAGTGGAAATGGAATCCAAGTTGGAGAAAAAGTCTGTTGAGTGAAAAAAATCTCACATTGAGTATATAACAAAGAAGCATGTGAGTTAAAATATAGGAGCATTACTCCATTAATTGCTAATTAGTTTTAGGTTTGATGAAAGCCTTGTGTTAAAGTCCATGTATACAACTTTCACATGGTATTAAAGCCTCTGACTCCTTTCCAAAAAAGATTGTTATTAGCTCACCTAACAGGACTCGAAGTGCATATCAATCTTGCATGTAAAGGCCACGTGATAGGATTCAAGCTTCATACCAACTCTACATGTGAAGGGGGATGTTAAGTGGGAAAATCCCACATTGAATTAAATACAGGAAAGGCTACTCTACCTATTGCCAATTGGTTTTAGCTTGGATGCAAGCCTGGTGTTGAAACTCACATGCACAACTTTCACAAAGTCTATTTATGAAAGAATGTGAGGAAGAAGGAAAGCTGTTGGAATTATTAAGAGGTGATAAGGTGTCTGAAGGGAAAGAAGACAAAATTAAGGCGTGCAAATTTGATGTTGGTGGAAGATATTTGGTCAAAAGAGCATCTTCTCTAATGTTATCGACTCAAAGGATTTTGGATCCTATCTTTTGTAAAGCTATTTGGAGCAATCTTGTATGTAGTACAATTAGTTCCTTGCATGAAGAATGTTTTTGGACAGGTTACCTTTTAAAGTCAATTTGCTAAGAAGAGGAGTTCAAGTGAATGGAGGATGGAATAGATGCATGAGATGTCAAGAGGAGACAAAGGATGTTGACCATGTTATACTCAAGCAGAATGGTGGGGATTCTATTATGCATTGCCTAGTTTAATTCAAGAGGCATTTATGTATATTGCACTTCATCATACAAAGATCAAGGTGAAAAAAGCTTGGGCCCTTTTATTTCTAGTAATCGTGTGATCATTATGTAATGCTTGTTATGACTTGATTTTTCATTCAATTCATTCAAATTTTTCATAAAAAAAATATAAAAATCACAAAATTAATAAAAAAATCATGAAAAATTTTAAAATGTCAAAACAAACATAAAAATATAAAAATATGGATTTTGCTCTTTTCTTTAACTAATCTGTCTATACTTTTGTTTCGGGTTCAACATGTTAAAAGAAAATTTTGTGAAGAGATTCAAAAGGAAATTCAAGGATTTAATTGAAGAAATTAGAAGTTAGGGGGTTCAATTATATTAAAAAACCTTAAAGCCTCAGTCCATTTACAAACTCATTTTAACAGTCCATAAAATAACCCAACTTTATCAAAAATCAGTCCAAAAACATTAAAACCAAGATCAGCCCAAAACTAAAAATAAAAACTCTAGTTCCCTTTGATTTTCTAGCAGATATAAAGGAGAGGGGACGAACAAAAAAATTAGGGGGGTGGGGGGCCGACAACTTAAAAATGGGGAAAAAGGGCTATGTATCCTTCTTCCTTCTGGAGCATCGATTTCAGCCACCATCACCATTCCCACCTTGTTTCCATTCTCCAATCACCGATCACCAGCTTCTTCATCCACATCGCTCCACCACCAAAGATCAATCTTCTCCACCTTGCAGTAGCTGCGGAGCATCTTCTACGCCTTACAGTGGCATGACAGCCCCTGGCTCTCTCCTTTCTTCTCTCAATTGCCGGCCTCTTCAGTTTCCTGTCATCTCTGCTACTCGGGTCTCCATTTTCGGGAAGGTTGCTTTTCAGTCCGATTCTTTCTTGAGCTAGGTATAATTCTGAAACAGAGGGGTTTCTGGGAAAGGTAGTGAGGGAGATGAACAGAGCCTAGTCCCATTTACTTTCTTCAAATCTGGATCTACCTTTCTCCAAAAAGTTTCGCAATGTTTACTTTCTTTTGATGTTTTTCTGTGAGTGTTCGATATTATGTAGTTGTATGAATTTTGCTGGAAAATGAATGATAATTGTTTCGGCAGCTTCGTAGTCCAACACTGTTGAAGTCCTCAGCTGCTTCTACACCTGAAAATCCCGAGGTTGTTTCCTCGGGGAAAACACTCCAACGCTCAAGTCAGCAATACTCAACACTTTAGAGAGAGAGGCTCTCAAGGAGTAATTGTAGAGAGAGAAGCGTAGAGATTAATTACCTTCATCGGAGGTAGTTGGGGGGTATTTATAGCCCCTTGGTGCTGACAAACATCTACACGTGTAAGCAGCCCATTGGCCCACGTGGTGCTGGTCACGTGGGTATGCTTGTACCGATGCTTCTTCAGCTTGGGCTAATAGGTGGTACTCTAGGCCCGTTATGCATAGTCCTGTTTGGGCGTTGGGCCTATTCCAACATTACTCCCCCCCGGTGTTCGGTTGACGAACTGGGATGTGTGTAGCCACGGGCCAGCGTCGTTGGGCCTATGCCCCTTCTAAACGGGTTTAAGAGCTCGCCGCCGACCTCGACAAGGGGCGAGCTAAAAGGTAAAACGAAAAGAGGCGAGCTGGCGAGCTTGGAAACGTGTGGGCGAGCTGGTATTCCCGGCCACATTAGTGTGGGCCAGTCATGGCGGCGAGCTGAAGTGATTGGCAATAGACGAGCTCGCTCGGGGACCATTACTGCACGGAACGCCCAATCAGCTCGTATTTGTGGTGACCTGAGCTTGGAGCACCGCTGAAGTGCGACCAGAAGGTGCGACCTCACATTTAGGACGACCTGAGGTACCCATTGATTTTCGTAAAAGTTTGTGACCTGTGTGAGCTGCGATCCGTGTATCGACCTGACAAATGTGGCTGCCGCCACAATATGTGACGAGCTGAGTCTTGGGGAATTTCAGCAAAAGATTCACACTTTCGAACGAATTGCCACGGGTGGGCCGATCTGGCATAATGTCATGTTTGTAACGACCTGGTAGGTGTGCTCGCCATGGCGAGCTGATGTGACAGTATAGGGTACACCTCAGCAGTGACAATCTGAGTTCTGGACGATTTGAATCTTGGGGATTTTTAAATCAACCGAATCTGACCAGATCTCTGAGGAGATACGTTTGCTCTTCCGTATCTCTTTATCTTCCTCGCCATAAATGCTGGCGCAACGTTTGAGGAACGTGACAGCCAGAGGCGGCGCACGTTGTGCAAAAGGCAGTTAAACGCCCACCACGTGTGAGATGCCTATTGGTGCGTCAGAGACACGCGTACTGCGTTTAATACGGTCATTTTGGTTTTGTTTCTTTCGTAACCGTTCCCTTTGCCATTTTCACTCTTGCATTTGCTCGAAATCTTTTGAAATTCTCTGAAGCGAGGCGACTCCAATCTTGAAGAATAGTACACCGAATCAACTTCACATTAGTTTCAGGTAAAAATGGTTTCACTGCGAGAACTCACAGAGCAACGAGGTAACCAGGGCAGAGAAGGAGAGGAGGAAGGGGTTTTAGCCGTGGAGCCTATCACTATGATAGTGCCATCGGAGTTGCAGGATGTACCGGAAACAGTGGCGTCTGAGAGCAGCGCCAGTTCCCGTACCAGAGATGACGGTGACGACCACCCTAGTGCATCGTCAAGCAGCTCGTCTACAGAAGAGACGCCCAGCCGTGAAGAAGGGGCGGGGGATTTGGTGAGCAGTGTCTCAGATCGGCCGGTTATTGGGGAATGGGAAGGTGCGATGATCCCGGGCAGGTTGAGTAACCTACGGAAAGCACCGAAGGACCTGCCCGCTGGATTTAGGTTCAAGGCTGCACTTCATCACGAAGTAGCAGATTGTGCGCCCTCCATAAGTGGGTATAAACGACTGGAGGAGATGGTGAGGGCGTACCACATCCCCAGGACCATATTGCTGCGGACAGGCGGGCAGAACGAAAGGGCGTGCACTGTGTCGCGAACAGGCTGGATTCCAGTGTATGCGGACCATTTTGACGCCGGCCTGCGGTTTCCCCTGCCCGGCCTGGTATTCGATCTGCTCGCGGAGTACGAGCTGGCTCTGACACAGCTGACGCCCAACAGCATAAGGTTCATTGTGGGCTTTATGCTGTTGTGTGCGAGACTGGAGGTACCGGCCAAGGCAATAGTGTTCAGGTCGCTGTTCCAGTGCTGGCTGTGTCCAAATTCAGGAGGGGCGAGATGGTACTACCTCTCTGGGAGGGATAAGAGCCAGCTCTTCAAGAACGTGAGGAATAAAGTGGCGCGGTGGAAAAGGCAGTTTATCTTTGTTCGCGACACACGAACAGAAAGGATAAGCAATGACCTGGCTGCCCGGCTGTCTGATTGGCGCACGCCGAACGCCCACATCAACTATCCCCAACTGCTGCCTCGAGATGTCGATCTGAAGAACCAGCTGCTTCAGCATGCACAGAGGGAGGGTCTTATAGATCTAGAAGCCCTGGTTACCTCGGAGCATCTCGCCATAGCCGGGTTTGTCGATGTGACAAACCTGTTCAGCGAAGGTATATTTTTATTATATATAACGGTTTCTAGCCGAGCTGAGGCTTATGTATTTGTTTGTGCAGGCGAAATGAGCAGCATACTGGAGCGTCAGCGTCAACGTGCCCAGAGTTCCCGAGGCCGCGGGGCGGGCAGCTCCACGCAGAGGCAGACGCGGTTTGATGAGCGGCCACCTGCAGCGCCTCAATCACGCAGCTCGTCTCATCGAGGATCCAGCTCATCTTCTCGACCGCGGGCTGATCAGAGGGTAGAGGTGGCGGCTCCCAGTGCACGCAGGTGTGCACGTGAGGAGACGGAGGGCGATGAGGATGAGGTCCCCCTTGCTAGGCGCATAAGAAGCGGGGGGACCCAGCCCGCACAGGCGGCTCGCCCTATTACCGTGCATTCTCCCAACGCACCGTCAGCAACTGTGCGGGCAGCAGCGGAGCCCGCCTTTGCATCAGCTTCGACATCTGGCCCCAGGATTGCTTATCCTGAGGGTTTCAGCTACACGCGAGCGGAGTGCCAGCCCACCATGGTGCAGGCCATGCACAGTTTTGTGCCCCCGACAGATAATCGGCGGGCAAAAGCGTTCGTGCAGCAGCATGGCGGGCAGGTCGCCATGATCAAGCTAATGGATGTAAGTATTCGCTCATACTTCCTTAAATGTTTTTCCTTGCTTTACTGGTTACTTACTATTGTTGCCGTTTGGCAGGCATTCAACTACGCTGTGGCGCTCTACGAGAGCGATCAAGCGGCTCGTACACAAAACAGCGAGCTCGGTTCCAAGTGCAAGCAACTGGCTGCTGAGAAGGCCAGCCTTGTGGACGATGTGAATCATCTGCAGGGTTCTGAAATGGTGAACCGAGCAGCGGCTGCTGAGAGCCGGGCGGACGAGCTCGCGAATAAGATTGATGAGCTCAAGGAGGAGCTAGAGCGAGCCCGTGCCAAGAGAGAGAGCGGAATTCAAGCAGCAAAGGATGAGGCCGCTCGGGTTGAAGAGCGGGCAAAGAAAGCTGAGGCTGACAGGGATCACGCTCAGCACGAGCTGAGCTCCCTGAGGCAGCAAGTCGCCGAGGCGGACAGAAACCTTACTGCTGCCGGGGAATCGCTAAACGAGCTGAAGGCTTCCCATGCCCGTTCCGTCGTCATCGCCCGGGCTCAAGGGGCGGAATGGCTCGTGGGCTCGGCTGTGTTTCAGGACGCTGTGGCGGTGGCGTCAGCAAATGTAACCACGGAGATCTACAACGAGATCCGTGGAAAAGTGCTGCAACATCGCCCGGACTTTCCGATCCGCGAGCTGGTCTTTTTTGACGAGGAGGAGCTCGACGAGCAGGGTAAGAGCCTTGCTCCCCTCGCTGACACAACCGTGAGGCTGAGGTGGGATTTGAACGAGGAGGGTGTGCCCGTCTGGCCACCGTCTGTGCTGGAGGACGGGGAGGATCCAGCAGGACTGTCCTCCTTTGACGCCTGGGTAGAGGGTGCTCCTGTGGCTGAGCAGGAACCTTCAAGCACCCCACCCAACTCTCAGCCCGCTGTGTTGCCGGCCAGCTCGCCCGTCAACGCACCAGCCACTGAGCCAGTAGCCCGGTCTCCCCCAGCTCGCTCTCCTGCAACTGCTGCTGATGCATCTATGCCCGTCGATCTGACGGATGACTAGATTTAGGGTTTTTTTCTTTTGACTTTTTTGTACCTTGTTTTTGCATTTTGTATTTGATCAATGAATTCATAGCATGTACCTTCAATGTAAATGTCTTTGATGAAATACAAAATGAACTTTTCTTTGAATTTGTGTTGTATTTTCGGTATATCGTTTGTTTACAACTGATGGATAGTACCTCAAGCGAAATAACATAACATACATTAACTGTAAAACTTCCTAAGATTCTGTACATTCCAAAGGTAAGGTAACTGTTGCCCATGTATATCTGCTAACACATAAGAGCCAGGTCGCTTAACCCGAACCACCATATAAGGGCCTTCCCAATTAGGAGCGAGCTTACCCATGTGTGAATGAGTGTTAGTTAACCCAGCCTTGCGTAGAACCAGATCGCCAACTTGAAACTGGCGGGCTCGAACCCTTTTATTGTAAAATTTTGCAACACGGTTTTGATGTGCCATGTTTCTTATTCTAGACATCTCCCTGACCTCTTCTACGAAGTCCAGGTTTTCTCTCAAAAGTTGCTCATTCTTGAGATCGTCATGTCGGCCTGCTCGATCGGATAACAATCCAACCTCTACTGGGATGACGGCTTCAGCTCCATAGGCCAGGCTGAAAGGGGTTTCACCCGTGGCCGAGCTTGGTGTGGTGCGACAAGACCAAAGCACTTTGTTGAGCTCGTCAACCCAAGTAGAATGCGCGGCCAA